GAGGAGGGCAGACATGTACTTGGAAGATGAGCCGGAGTTCAGCGCCGCTGCAGGATGGGCAGCGTGATGGGCAGCGTGATGGGGAGCCTGCGATCAGAAGAGTGAAGAATACAGGTATGGATGCCTTTGATTAGGAGTTTGATTGACGGCTCAGCGCAGCTACTTGGCCAGCTGCATCTGATAGATCAGAAGATTAGGTGGAGAGATGAAGCACGACCGCCGAAGCGACCCTGGGAGCATAGGTGCGAGTCCAGCGCAGCGCGGCATACTCAGCCGGGCAGCGTCCATTAGAAGCAGGATAAGCTTCTGAGAGAGTGGGTTGCAGCAGTAGCAGTAGCAGCAGCGGCAGCAGCAGTAACCTCAGATAATAACAGCAATAGTCCTGTATCAAGCCGCGGCAGCAGCAGCAGCAGCGTCCTTAGAAATAACAGTAATAATTCTGTATCTAAGCCACAGCAGTAGAATGTTGTTGTAGCTGTTCAGTGTTTCAGTAAAAGAGATGCAAGTGAAGAGAGATGGCAAAGTAAATGAAGCAGCAGCAGCAGTAGTAGCAGCAGTAGCCGTATGAAGCAGCAGCAGTAGCAGTAGCAGTATGAAGCAGCAGCAGCAGTAGCAGCAGCAGCAGATGCAGCATCCGTAGATAATAACAGCAATAATCCTGTATCAAAGCCAGAGCAGTAGAATATTGTTGTAGCTGTTTAGTGTTTCAGTAAAAGAGATGCGAAGTGAAGAGAGATGTCAAAGTACATGAAGCAGCAGCAGCACGGCAGCAGATGCAGTATGAAGCAGCAGCGGCAGCAGTAGCAGCAGTAACGGTAGCAGCATGAAGCAGCAGAAGCAGCATTAGCAGGAGCAGCAGTAGCAGTATGAAGCAGCAGCAGTAGCAGCAGTATGAAGCAGCAGCAGCAGCAGCAGCGGTTGCAGCATCCGTAGATAATAACAGTAATAATCCTGTATCAAAGCCACAGCAGTAGAATATTGTTGTAGCTGTTTAGTGTTTCAGTAAAAGAGATGCGAAGTGAAGAGAGGTGTCAAAGTAAAGAAGCAGCAGCAGCACGGCAGCAGTAGCAGTATGAAGCAGCAGCGGCAGCAATAGCAGCATTAGCGGCAGCAGTAGCAGTAGTAGCGGCAGCAGTAGCAGCAGTAGCGGTAGCAGTATGAAACAGCAGAAGCAGCATTAGCAGGAGCAGTAGCACCACAATGCGATTCATACGAACAACAGACGTGTCACGCCAGCGTGCGCCGCTTGTCTCCGTGAGCCAGGTTACATACGTGTCTGAAAGAGCCGAGCCGTAGAGACAGGTGCAGCCTGGAAGCCCGCGGAGCGGCAGCGGCAGGAACAGCAGCAGCGGCACATGTAGTAGTAGGAGCAGCAGGAGCAGGCAGCAGGGACAGGCAGCAGCGGGAACAGGCATCAGCGGGATCAGGCATCAGTAGGAACGGCAGCAGGGACCGCAGCAGCGGCGGTCAGAGAACCATGCCCATGGTTGTTTAAGAGCCTGAGGAAATAAATCAACCCGAATCCGAAACATTCCCATGCGAATAACAGATGTCCCCCGGAGCCATCTTCTGCTTTGGTTATGGCAGATACGCATGAACGATCACTTTTCCATGCGTTCATTAGCTCCAACACCACTTCACACCCATTGCAGATCACATTGGCCCTTTTTCTTTCTGCTGCACTTTCAAAATGCAACAACTGCAGTTCAGTTACCAATTTAATACTAGTGACCTAGCTATTTAAATGCATGGCCCCTCCTTCCTCCTGCAGATAGACGAATTTAAATACATCCATTTAACAATAGTGACCTGCGAGTAATGAGATTAATGCTGTAAAGATGGCGCCGTGGCAAGAGCTCTGGTGTGTGCCGTCTGGAACACGATGGGGTAGTCTTTGCACATATTTCCAACGTGGTTTTACTGCAAGTGGCAGAACATGAATCTGAATTATGCACATTGCTCCTCTTATATCCCTCAGACAATAGAGATTGATGCCATTTAATATGCATTGCCCCTCAGTTAGCTCAAACACGTGTGAAAACGGAGCCTGCAGTCAAGTGCGTAGGGCAAAAACCAGCCGCCTGCAGCCTAGACTCCGGGATTAATCCGTCCGCGGTCGGCACACTCACTGTACTCACATGCCAGGAGACTTGGGAAAGCAACGGGACAACGCGGCACCGCCAATCGGAGGCAGGGACACGCACGGCACCGCCAGACCGTCTGCGCGCGGCAGCAGACCACGAGGAACGAGCAGCACGGGACCTGCAGAGGGGCCCCGCGGATCAGCCCACAGAGGAGGAAAGCAGTGGAGACACGCGAACCATAGCAGGTGCAGGGACGCGAAGGAGGAGCAGACCACGAGCAGCCAGACTGAGGACAGCAGGGCCACGCGCACGAGCAACACGTGAGCAGAAGCAACCCCTCCAGAACAACGCATGCATTTGCGAACAGGTGCGTTAGCGACATGCACCTTGCAAACTTCAGAAGGCCGGGAAAGTGGGCGTCTCCGGCTTTTAACTTGCTGTCCTGGTGGTTATTGGTGGATTAGATGTGGGCGTTGCTGGTATGATGAGTAGAGGATGAGCAGGCTTGTAGATCTGGCAGCAGTGGCCGGGTCTACCACAGTGAACTTTCGCGAAGAGCTTCATGAGTTTGATTGACAGCTCAGTGCAGCTACTCGGCCAGCTGCATCTGATAGAATCAGAAGATTAAGTAGATTAAGTAGAGAGATGAAGCATGACCGCCGAAGCGACCCTGAGAGCATAGGTGCGAGTCCAGCGCAGCGCGGCATCCTCAGCCGGGCTGCGTCCATTAGAAGCAGGATAAGCTTCTGAGAGAGTGGGCTGCAGCAGTAGCAGTAGCAGCTGCAGCAGCAGCGGCGGCAGCATGAAGCAGCAGCAGTATCCTTAGACAATAACAGTTGTAGCTGTTTAGTGTTACAGTAAAAGAGATGTAAAGTGAAGAGACGTCAAAGTAAATGAAGCAGTAGCAGCAGCAGCAGTAGTTGCAGCAGTAGTTGCAGCAGTAGCATCAGCAGTTGCAGCATCCTTAGATAATAACAGTAATAATCCTGTATCAAGGCCACAGCAGTAGAATATTGTTGTAGCTGTTTAGTGTTTCAGTAAAAGAGATGTAAAGTGAAGAGAGATGTCAAAGTATATGAAGCAGCAGCAACAGTAGTAGTATGAAGCAGCAGTAGCAGCAGTAGCAGTATGAAGCAGCAGAAGCAGCATTAGCAGCAGCAGCACGACAATGCGATTCATACGAACAAACAGACGTGTCACGCCAGTGTGCGCCGCTTGTCTCCGTGAACCAGGTTACATACGTGTCTGAAAGAGCCGAGCCGTAGAGACAGGTGCAGCCTGGGAGCCCGCGGAGCGGCAGCGGCAGGAACGGCAGCAGCGGCACATGTAGTAGTAGGAGCAGCAGGAACAGGCATCAGCGGGAACAGGGAGCAGGCATCAGTAGGAGCAGGCGGCAGCAGGAACAGACATCAGTAGGAGCAGCAGGGACCGGCAGCAGCGGTGGTCAGAGAACCGTGCCCATGGTTGTTTAAGAGCCTCAGGAAATGAATTAACCTGAATCCGAAACATTCCCAAGCGAATAACAGATGTCCCCTGGAGCCATCTTCTGCTTTGGTTATGGCAGATACGCATGAACGATCACTTTTCCATGCGTTCATTAGCTCCAACACCACTTCACACCCATTGCAGATTCACATTGGGCCCTTTTTCTTTCTGCCGCACTTTCAAAATGCAACGACTGCAGTTTAGTTACCTGATCATTTAATACCAGTGACCTAGCTATTTAAATGCATGGCCCCTCCTTTATCCCTCAGATAAACTAATTTAAATACATTTCATTTAACAGTAGTGACCTGCGAGTAATAAGATTAATGCTGTAAAGATGGCGCCGTGGCAAGAGCTCTGGTGTGTGCCGTCTGGAGCACAATGGGGTAGTCTTGCAATTTTTCCCACGTGGTTTTACTGCAAGTGGCAGAACATGAATCTGAATTAATGCACATTGCTCCTCTTATATCCCTCGGACAATAGAGATTGATGCCATTTAATATGCATTGCCCCTCAGTTAGCTCAAACACGTGTGAAAACGGAGCCTGCAGACCAAGCACGGGGTGAAAACTGGCGCCTGCAGTCCAGTGCACAGGGAATAATCCGTCCGCAGGTCAGCAACTCACCACCACGTATGGCAGAAGACGTGGGAAAGCAACGGGACAACGCGGCACCGCCAGACCGTCTGCACGCAGCAGCAGACCACGAGGAGACGAGCAGCATAGAGCCCGCGGAAGGGCCCCGCGGAGCAGCCCGCAGAAAGAACCCGCAGAGGAGGAGAGCGGCGGAGACACAGCAGGTGCAGGGACACGGAAGAGGAGCAGACCATGAGCAGCCAGACTGAGGACAGCCGGGCCACGCGCACGAGCAACACGTGAGCAGAAGCGACCCCTCCAGAACAACGCATGCATTTGCGAACAGGTGCGTTAGCGACATGCACCTTGCAGACTTCAAAAGGCCGGGAAGTTGACCTGATAGAGCAACATGCATGTGATATTCAGACTCAGTTGAGAAACCCCTGACCATTTTTGGGCTGTCAACTTGTGTTATAATGTGTTGATACAAATTACAATGTAGGTCAAAAATCATTATTTGAAAACAATTTAGGACTCGCTGTCGTTTCCAGAACATCTACACCATATATCTATAAACATACACATTTACTCCAACTAAAAAAATAGATGCTAAAATCTTAATAACAAACAAAATGGCGATTTCAAATAAATGATATGTGTGTGAGAGAAAAACTTGTGTGCTTGTGTGGGACATTGTGCCGCTGCAGCGGCCACACATGCATAATGCATCTGCAGCCTGTCGTTCCGTCTAAAGAAGCTCTGGCAGGCCACACCCTGGACCTGCCGCTGTCACTGCTCTGATCCTGTCTCCACATTCTGCTGCTCTGCAAACAAGCACCAGAACCAAGTCCAAACCATGTGGAAGCACCAGAGGAAAACCAAGTCCAAACCATGTGGAAGCACCAGAGGAAAACCAAGTCCAAACCATGTGGAAGCACCAGAGGAAAACCAAGTCCAAACCATGTGGAAGCACCAGAGGAAAACCAAGTCCAAACTATGTGGAAGCACCAGAGTAAAACCAAGTCCAAACCATGTGGAAGCACCAGAGGAAAACCAAGTCCAAACCATGTGGAAGCACCAGAGGAAAACCAAGTCCAAACCATGTGGAAGCACCAGAGGAAAACCAAGTCCAAACCATGTGGAAGCACCAGAGGAAAACCAAGTCCAAACCATGTGGAAGCACCAGAGTAAAACCAAGTCCAAACCATGTGGAAGCACCAGAGTAAAACCAAGTCCAAACCATGTGGAAGCACCAGAGTAAAACCAAGTCCAAACCATGTGGAAGCACCAGAGGAAAACCAAGTCCAAACCATGTGGAAGCACCAGAGGAAAACCAAGTCCAAACCATGTGGAAGCACCAGAGGAAAACCAAGTCCAAACCATGTGGAAGCACCAGAGTAAAACCAAGTCCAAACCATGTGGAAGCACCAGAGGAAAACCAAGTCCAAACCATGTGGAAGCACCAGAGTAAAACCAAGTCCAAACCATGTGGAAGCACCAGAGGAAAACCAAGTCCAAACCATGTGGAAGCACCAGAGGAAAACCAAGTCCAAACCATGTGGAAGCACCAGAGAAAAACCAAGTCCAAACTATGTGGAAGCACCAGAGGAAAATCAAGTCCAAACCATGTGGAAGCATCAGAGGAAAACCAAGTCCAAACCATGTGGAAGCACCAGAGGAAAACCAAGTCCAAACCATGTGGAAGCACCAGAGTAAAACCAAGTCCAAACCATGTGGAAGCACCAGAGGAAAACCAAGTCCAAACCATGTGGAAGCACCAGAGTAAAACCAAGTCCAAACCATGTGGAAGCACCAGAGGAAAACCAAGTCCAAACCATGTGGAAGCACCAGAGGAAAACCAAGTCCAAACCATGTGGAAGCACCAGAGGAAAACCAAGTCCAAACCATGTGGAAGCACCAGAGGAAAACCAAGTCCAAAACATCTCATTTGACAAATCACATGAAGGAGGCGGGAGCTTTTCTTATTTTTACTTCATTCTGTGGATACACAAAGCAAAGTACTGTCTCCTCTAATAGAGTCTTAAATCAATCATCATCTTGTTATTTTAAAATAATACATGTTTACAAAATGTCTATAAAGTATGCACTCACACAAGCAAGTGTTTTGTATTTTATTTATAGCTACATATGCAAACCTACCTCAAAGTGCTTCATCAGGTTAAAAACACAAAAGCAGAGATTAGGTTCAGTTTCTTTTAGCCTGTGCTTTTCTCGACTCCGTGTTTGACTCATCCTTCTCATCTCTAGGAAGGATTTTTCTTTTTTTGATAATGTATTTATGGGTATACGGCTCAGGGTTAGATGAGAATATTTACATGTTTTGAAAATCTTCATATAAGACAGTCAACATCTTGTAACTCTGCCACAATCAGGCTGTGTTTAAAGGAGCCCAGAACAGAAGGATTGGAATGTCCTAACTAGCATGTTCTCACTAGCATGTTCTCACTAGCATGTTCTCACTAGCATGTTCTCACTAGCATGTTCTCACTAGCAGTGAGAACATGAGCAGTAGCTCAGTTGGTAAAGCGTTGGCCTTTGAGCCAGAAGGTCGTGGGTTCAAGCCCCGCTCAAGACTTTCACCATCGGCTCCCAATGACTACTGTCGTTGTGTCCTTGGCAAGACACTTAACCTCTGGGAACACCAGCCACAGTGGGGCGGCTGCGGCTGTAAAGTGCCAAACTGCCGTTGTGTCCTTAGGCAAGACACTTCACCCCCATTGCCTAGAATGAGTCTGGTGTGTGTGTGTGTGAGTGGTTGGTGGTGGTGGGAGGGGCCGATGGCACAGACTGGTTGCCTCGCTTCTGTCAGTGTGCCCCAGGGCAGCTGTGGCTACAGTAGTAGTTTATCACCACCGTGTTTGGAGTGAATGAATAATGACACATGTGAAGCGTCTTTGAGTGTCCAAAAAAGCGCTATATAAAACCGATGCATTATTATTATTATTATTATGTCCTAACTAGCATGTTATAACTAGCATGTCCTAACCCCCCAATTCATTTTTTGATTCCACATATTAGTAATGATATAATAGTTTTGTAGAAAAATATATATGATGTCATTTTGAACATTTGTTGAGGAGCTGCTGAAGTGTTTTCCTGAACCCACGGAGCACATCCACAGACATGAGGGGAACAACAACCCAGACCGCACAGCAGGGGGCGCAATACAGAGCCCTGCTGGACTCCATTCCTGACCTTCAAGAGTCCCACACAATCCACCCCACTTCACCGGAATACCAAAATATGAGGACTCTAACACGGTGTAGCTAGGAATGCCTTGGATGCATCTAAAAAGCTCTTTACAGCGCAAAGGTAAATATTACAATAACATCTCTCTGGAGTCTTGTTGAGCACGTTTTAGCACAGTTATGAATTAAGTCCGCCTAAGCACAGCGCTATTAAGGAGGCAATTCCTATAATTAGATGAAGACATAAACTCTGTGAGCGAGTCGATAAGAAGGAGCAGTCTAATGTGATCCCCGGCAGATTGAAAAGCATTTAAGGCAGATCACCAGTGACTCTGCTCAAATGGGATTGTGACCACCGCTCCCATTAGCATTAAGCTAAACCTCGGCGATGGCTGACCAGGCAGAATACAGAGTGATTACTTATGCACACAGCTCCGGTCAATATTGGCAGGTGTTCGAGACATGGGTTAGATCTTAGGAGCCCACTTGAATTCTTACTAGCTTCATATTTAAAGAAGCTGTGTAAACCTCAGAGACATATGTCAATAGAACCTGGAAGCTGCTAGCCCTGGTCTTATCCATCCGTACACTCTGCTCACTCATCATGTCCTGCATGTAACGTCTGGGTCTGGTCCCTGTGTTTGTGATTACATCGGTTGAATCCCATCCGACCAATCAGAGAGCGCGGGAGGCAGGTGTTGTAGTTAGATGTGGGTGACGTCAAGAGTTTGCGCCGAGCGGGAAGGTTGTAGTTTGGCGAAGAATGAGATAGTAAAGTATTTTGTTCTGGTTCTATCAAGAAATTGAAGCCGGAGCAAGAGGACGGAGTTTTGTGTGGAGCAGAGTGTGAGATTGACCAAAGTCGCGGTGATTCAGGCCAAATGGTCATGAGCTTTGGGTGAAGTCCGAATGAACAAGACTGCGGAGACCATCCATCACAATGTGTTTCCTGAGCGAGGTGCGAACCTTTTATCGTACAGAGAACTGAGAACTAATCTCCCGAACCCTTCTCTCAATGTGATAAAAGCACATTCTGATTCTATCTGTTCTTTTAATTAGGTGATAATCCTGCTTCCATTCATTGAGAAAAAGATAAAATGTACCAACAAATATCTACATGGAATTGTAAACGTAACTAATCAAAACGCTTTGGAAATTTACTCCATCCATCCATCTTCTTCCCCTTAATCCATTTCTGGGTCGGGGGGGTTGGCAGTCAGAGCACCAGCCCCTCACTGATCCTCTGCAGGTGCTGAGTCCACAAGAGCTGAGATCTTTCAGTGGGGGCTTCAGGCAAAGTGGGGTTAAGTGTCTTGCTTTACTCATTGACTGCCATTGACATATTTGTCTGTGACCCTCTATTCAATCTAAAAATAGATTTAAAAAAAAAAAAACGTTTTTTTGCAGATCCAAGTAGACAATCCAGTCTTTCAGAATCTGGTTTGACATTTCACATAGTCTTAGGAAATAATATTCTGTGGGTCTTGAGAATCAGTGAAATCATCACAAATGGCTGGCAGTCAATGAGTTAAGGACACAACGGCAGCAGACATCAGTGGGAGTCGGTGGAGAAGGTCTCGTGGTGGGGCTTGAACCCACAACCTTCATGCTGCTCAAAGGCAAATGCTCTACCAACTGAGCCACTGTCGCCCACTTCACTGGAAATTTTGTGATCTTGATAAATTGCTATCATCATACATTCATTCCAAAATTATAGATTTTTTTAAACTTAGTATTTTGATGCATTAATTATGGGAAATCATCCTGTTTGTGCTGTTATTTGCTTTCCACCTCAAACATTTGTAACGTCACCTCATTGTTCAGTGCAATCATAAATACCGCACCATTGAAGTGAGCAAATGCTTCTGTAAGTACTGCTTATAACTGCCATTTTGTCATCGTTTCAAACTAACGATAATATATTTTCTAAGCAGATTGAAATTTAATAAGCCTGTCATATCAGGCGTCAGCAGCACAAATGGCCATGTGCTCTCAACTGTGTCCCAATCATTCCGACTTGGTTTATCTTCCTCCGTGTGGAATGAGAAACTTGGAACATTTCTGGCTAATCTTAAGCACGGCTCATAAATCTTGATTAGAAGAAATAAAAAGTGTCATCAGAACACATCAGGGCCAGAGGACAGCGCAACACACAGAAAGTGAATGAAACTATCTGCACAGACTAGAAACGTGTGTGGTTTGAAGTGCGGGATATTAACGGGCACGACTGTCGCTCAAGTACTGCATTAACCGAGGCGTAGTCGCATACTTCAGAGTAATGGAGGTTTTAAAAATACTTCATAAAAACACAGAGTGGAAGGACATTTTAAAAACCTCAATTTTATTCATGAGGCCTGCTGCGGCGGCTTCAGAAAAGACCAACCGCACGATTTACGCCTCGAAGTGAGATCAGCAAGTGTTTATAAAAGCAGGCGAGAAGTACGTATATTAGCTTTAAGTTCTTTATTTACATTTTAAAGTGCACTTCACAGACGTTACATAAAGAGCTTTACAATCTGAGGTCATTTCCATCACTCCACATGTTAATGGCAGAAGCGAGAGGCCGAACACTCACCGACTCAATGCATTCAAACCAAATTCAAATTATGTAAATGAATGGAAAGCGAAGAGACCTGTGCAGCCACGGAGAGAACATGCAAACTCCTGGTCACCTTGCCCCTCAAGGGCTCTAATCTGTCATCATTAAAGGGCCCTAATCTGTCATCATTAAAGGGCCCTAATCTGTCATCATTAAAGGGCCCTAATCTGTCGTCATTAAAGGGCCCTAATCTGTCATAATAATAAACTGCTCTTTTCCAATACTTCTTTAACTGATAACAGTAGTTCAGAGATATTTGAATTTCTAAATTTCTTTTCCAGCCTCTAAATCTTGTTATTGTTTTCATGTCGATGTCCCGCCCTCCACCGTTTCACCAATCAGAAAGTCTGTGATCCGGGCGCCAGAACTCACCGCGTGGAGCTAATCTCACTGGTAAAGTACCATGTGGCACAGAACTAAAAAAGGTCTTGTTATGATTCTCAAATCATTAACGACAAAACAAGGAATAAAACCAGGATTTCTATCTTTGTGAAAAAGGTGTTGGTTATAGATTTGTTGTTGACAAAACTCTTGTCTATTCAGCTGTTATGGTCCCAGCTGGATTCGTCTGCATATCTGGCAACCTGAGTCAGGGAGAGTGGGAGAGGCTGCAGTACCACTTTTGGCCACATTTTTACACACTGCTCCTTAAAGTTTCCTGGATCATGAAAAACAGTCATACAGAGATAGTTTTCTTCTCCCCCAGTGTCTTCAGCGTTCGTAGCACAAGAATACATCAATTTGGCATATACGTTTTAGAACAATTTAACTGTCAAAATGGCACCAAAGCTACACTGGCAGATTTACTGTCAAGCCGGCGACAAAAATAACATCAAGCATCCGTAAAAATCATAACATTGAGACACAGGATGGGAATAAGTAGGTCAGTTGCAACACACACAAACAGAGCTGTTTAAAATCTGTTTTTGTGAAAGCCGCGAACAGGTGGTCAAGCAGAACCATTTGTGGTCAAGCAGAACCATTTGTGGTCAAGCAGAACCATTTGTGGTCTAGCAGAACCATTTGTCCAGACCGCTCTTCATCAGTGTGAGTGATGACGAGCAGACGGGCAATTGTTTGGGGATGTAGTGTGACTGCGACTCCAAGCACCAAGGGGTATGGTAATATTTCCTCCTCTCTATAA